GCCACTGCAGAATATATAGTCATACATAGATTCATAACTTACCAGACCTCTTATTAGATCTTTACGTAAACGAAAGTAAGGATTAAAAAAACGAGGAATGTATAGTAAGGGTCTTGTAGGCAATAGAGAACTTTCTGTAATCATGCGTCTACATATATTATAAGGTAAACTTATTCAAATTTGCCAATTAATATATTATAATATAATAGGTTAGTCCATTAAACTATTGCGATGCCCATAATAAAAAGGTGTTAAATGAACTTATTAGTTATTAATTTAATATTCACTTCGGAAATAAATACAGTAGGTATATATTTTTACTATTGTTTCCTTGCTTTTGAATTTGAAAATTCTTAAATCTTTTAATTTATTCAGGAATCAGGATATTCAATTTGATTATCTGCCAGACATAATTTTCAGATACAARCATACAACATAGAAKATGAATTTTCTTATGTACTGTAGTGGTAATTTATTAAATATACTTTTATATATTTAATCAATGCGGTGGTCTCTGTATATATATATTAAAAAACAAGAAATGACGTATAACGATAATAATGCATGTGACTAACCTAGAGAAGGACGGTACGTTGCAAATGTATTTAAAAATAGATTTTGATTGATCTATACATTACACGGATAAAGTAGTACAAAATTACTTTATTTAAAAATTTAAATCTTTTACATTTTACATTAGTGAAGAGAAAAATTATGGTAATTTACTGAGCATTAAAATTCTTAGTTATTATTTAATGAATAATGATTGTTAGAATCAACACAATTGAGTGATCACCGATTACTGTATACAGAGCAAAATAATATAGCCATATTGGTTCACGAGTAATATTTAAAACATGTTTTTAGATTTTGATAAACCTGTTTTTTTTGTGCTTAAACTATTTTATTATATTAAAAAATTAAAACACAAATGACAAATGTTTATAATTCTGGACAAGACAAATAATTATAACTTAAATAATTTTATTCAAAGCAARATTAAAGTATTTTACCTATTCACATTATCATACTATATTTCATAATTCGTACATTKTACTTAATACTTATCAAGTATATTTAAACTTTTTTTACAACTTTCCATACCATATATAATGCACCTATACCTATATTCATAATCAGCATACTTTTAAATTATCACTACATCGATATATGCGCTGGGAAATATTTTAAGTAGGTACTTCTGTTCCTGTATCTATAGGTATCTAGATACCTAAAAATGTGTTTAAAAGAGCAAAATACATGCCTTCATGATGTTTGTTTACAGACTCGCTCACCTTGGTGCAACCCAGTATGATGTACATATTAGTTATTATTATTATACATTTTTAAACATTGATAAATTATCGAATTTGATTAACGATTGTGTTTATTTGGAATTGTCGATAGCTATACGTGTTTTCTTTCATTGTATCCGTATGGATGAAATTAATTATAAGAACTCCATGTTATTAGACGTCATTGCAAAATCAGAAACAAATTCTCGAAAGACCACATAAAATATTATGATCTATCTGGGGAAGTGTGGAGCATTTTCAGAGGAAAATTTTAATATCTCATTATAAAACTATATAAGTCCAATAACAATTCTACAGGACCATTAGGACCTCAATATAACTGGCAACACTCCGAAGATCGAATTGTATTAAGAGGATAGTCAAAGAGCTTAGAGCAGGTTGCAACACCATTTTTTAAAATTAATAAAATAAAAAATAAATGTATGGTTTGTAAATCTAAAATTAATTACAAACAAATATCAGGAGGTTATTAATGTCTTATTATTTGTTGTACTTGTATCTATATTTTTCAAATTTAATRTTTCATTTTATGCATATTTCTATAGGGATTACGTATAAGTTCTAGGGTACCTGTACGCTACACTTTAACATTCAAAAACTGTGAATCGTGAATGTGATATTTATCAACTATCAAGTGAGTATCATTATACTTATGGAATATTAATATAGCAAGTATCTATCTAKGTATAGTATAATACTGTAATAGAATTCCWAGTCGGGACTATTCGAGTATGACGTATCACGTATGCCTGAATAGGTATCATAAA